GTGCTGCCTAGGGTGGGGATAAGTAATCTTCTAACCTGGTAGAGATGGTAGAGTTATGCTTTTTCTTCCGATTTGTCCTGCCTTTTTCAAAGATTAGCTTGAATTTGAAATGTCCTCATTACTTTATAATAAAATTTCAACTACTCATTATTATAATCTGAAAATGATATATGCGATAAATTGCTTTATATGTTGCGGAACGCAAAATTCTTAAAGTTCAATGTAGCCCTTCACCAATTATTTTAAACTTCTATATTTAAATTTACAAAAATTACCAAAAAAATGGCTAAATCAAGTTTCTGAATGCTTAGCACAAGTGCTTTGAAGTTAGTGACAAGACTCGACTTGAAATATGCACAAGAAAAGTGATATCTTCTCCTAAAGTTAATTGCTTTAAAGTTTAACGCGAACTACTGTCAGTGCTGGATTTACAGTAGGGGCAATCGGGGCTACTGCCCAGGGCGGCAAATTTTGGGGGGCGGCAAAATTTGAATAGTGAGAAAAAAATTCTATACATATAATCAACTTTTTTTAACAACATTTTTTGTTTCAAGAAATATAATTAACAGAACATAATACGATTGCAATGCAAAATTTGGGTTGAAATAAACGATAACTAAAATTTATTATTTTGCCTTGCCTCCCTCTCCGTTATCAAATTGGTTAATAAGTTATCAAATTTGGCAATTTGGCTAATATAAAGATCCGTAAACAAGCTGAAAGTTTAAGAAAAATATGTACTTCAGTTCTCGAGCCCTCTTAAAATGACGAATTTGTGCACTTCCAAGCTTATAGCGTCGAAAAAAATTTAAACTAGTGACTCATGGCATTGTGCCTTAAGACAAATTACTGAAACATCTCGTACTGAAAATTTTATAAAGAGCTTTAAATTTTATTGAAAAATGAAAAAAAAAGACTTCTAAAACACATTTTTTGTATTTTGAAATTTTTCGAAAATTATGAACTTTTTGCAAAGCAATCGCGCTGCGTAGCTGTTTCAGAGAAGAAACCATTTTTCGTAATTGCCTGTACCAAAGGCTAATCAGCACGTCTCCCCATCTAAATACTTTTTAATTATTCAAGTCGATTTCGAGAACACGGAACAACTGATTTATGACTCAATTCCTATTGATAAGTAGACGTGCTGATTAGTTATTGGTCAAGGCAGGTTCAACTGTTTTGTAGATACGGGCCAAAATTCCAAAAATGATAATTCAGTTTTTGAGGAAAAGCGTCCAATAACATTCAAAAAAAATTACAGAATAAATAACTGCTTAAATTTGTGGTGGGCAGGTTTAGCGGTTTCGATTATCCAATAAAAAAAAATTGAAAAAGAAACATTTGGCGGACAAAAGTGATCATAAGACATACGCACATTAAATTATCAGATATTTTAAAGATATTATAATAATAAGTTTTGTTTACATTTATATAAGTTCTGTAACATTGTTTATCCGTTAGACTGCGACGCGGCGCTTACGCGCTTCTATATTTTGTCCCTCGCAGCTGAAGCAGTGCGATTGGTTTAAAATAAGTTCGAAAGCGATGGGGCGGCATTTTGTCAGTGCCCCGGGGCGCCAAATTTCTAAATCCGGCCCTGACTACTGTACAGTATTTTATACAAGGCTTTAAAAGCGGAAAAGTCAGTAACTATAGCTAAAGGTGGAATTAATTTAAAACAAAAAGATTTTTATTGAATCTTTAATAGTTGGCAACTAAGTGCGACTTGTACTTATTAGATTGCTTCAAATGAATCCATAGGTTTGTTGAGATAGTCTACTAATTTTGTCACGATCTTGGTAAAGTATAATAACAATGTGTGCCAAGTTCCATTAAATTCGCATGATGCGTTTTTGAAAAGATACTATGATTCACTTAGGCCAAACGTGCTCTTAACCTGAAACTAAGTTTACTTATCTATGGTTCCTGTCCCCATCACTTTGTGTTTGGCCAAAATGGTCGGGTAAGATAAAGGGATAAAGGAATCTTATGAATGATAACATAGAAATAGATATAATCCATATGAGTTGGCAGTCTCTAATTGTCCAAAAGCTTTGTAGATGCGACATTTATTGTTTAGGTATATTATTTTTGGTTTCTGTCTGTTCTCCCGTTGGAAAGATTGGAACAGTGTGGACGGGTCCTATTTCTGTTTTATTTCTCTAAGTTCGATTCGATTGGTGATATTGTACCATGGGATAGGTAAATTGATAAAATTTAGTTTTATAAATTAGTAATTTATATTAATTTAATATTCGAATAATAAATAATATTTAATATTATTTATCCGAAAAGGGTTTGGAACTTAGTTTCATCCTTTATACTTGTTCATCTATGCTGTGCGCCATGTATTTGATGTTGGGTTTGTCTTTGATTGCCATGTGTTTTAATTTGATGCAGGTAATAATACAGGTATAGTTATAATTATAATTATATATATATATATATATATATATATATATAGGGTATCCCAAAACTCAATCTCAAGCCGAAACAAAGTGGAAGTATTGACCTTCAGTGTCCTGAAAAAAATTAGAAAAAAACTATCCACATTGTTTGAAAATTATGAGCTTTTAAGTGCAACTAAGAGCTTTTGTGTATTTATGACCATTTTTCGGTTAATTTCATTATGGTTAATTTTAATTTTTAATTTTGTTCATTTAAATTTTGGAACCATAACCGTGAATAACATTACTAGGGCTATTGGGACCACAGTCGAAAACAATGATACACTCCTACAAAAAGCTTTAATTCTTGAAAACTTGGGTCAATTGTATGCTTATTTATTATATATATATATATATATATATATATATATATATATATATATCGTATATATATTAGGGTATCCATAATCAATAATAATGATTAAGTATATGCAATCAGCAATTTGTACGACAATCAACAATTTGTTTTAAAACATCAGAAGGTAAGGAAGAATAATCTTGAGTATAAGTATCGAGCTCTCAACTTGCGTCAACGCGCTGGTAAGAGTCCAATAACTCAAAAAGTAATCATCGGATCAACTTGAAATTTTCAGAGAACATTTTCAAGATATTACACTTAATGAAAATGCAAAAAATAAAAATCGATTTTTCAAAAATTTCAACTACCCCTACCCCTTAAGAAATAATCTTCATGTAAAAACTATTTATTAAAACAAATTTGTTTAACAAATAAAAATAATGGAATCCTATTAACTAATTATTAATAACTAAATAAATAAATATTTATATTTAATTGTCTTCTGTCTCCGGCTGTTTTTTTTGCACTGAAAGAGTCCTGCGACTCCTTTTTTTGACCTATATTGTTGTTCCTTAAAATTAGAAAAATAATATAAGTACAGAGTGTCAAAGAACTCAACGTCAAGCCGAAACGGGGTGCTAGTATTGACCTTAACTGTTCTAAAAAAAAATTTAAAAAAAAAACGTCACGTACGTATATATACAACGTTGTATGGAAATTATGAGCTTTTTAGTGCAACCTAAGACTTTCATAAACTGTGATCATTTTTCGGTCATTGTGGTTAATTTCAATTAATTTTGTATATTTAAACTTTAGAACCGTAACCGTGAATAACATTTTTAAGACCATAGTGATATTAGGACCTAATTGTGGGTATAAATCCCATTGGTATGCTGAAAAATTGAATGCTACACGTGTGAAAGTGGCAGATCAGCGCGCCAACGAGAACATTCGGGAGGCCAAAATGCTTCGTAGGCAACAGCAAATGGAAATTTTGGAAACTTGCACAATGACTGATGAACTATTATATGGCTCAGAAATAGATGACTCGGTTTAAGTAATTCAATATTTCGAATTTCTGTACGTAAATCCAATGTGAAACTTTAAACGCGTTTTTCTCAAAACTATGTTTCTTGAACCGGTGACCACTGTAACTCAAAAACCGCTTAGTAAATTTTACTGAAATTACATTAATTATACATCTTTTAGAATACATAATAAACTCGGGCCTGATCGAAGGATTTTATTTTTTCAAAAAATTCAATTTTTTAAGACCCATTAACTGTTAATTTTTTACCCAAAAATCTAGAAATTTTGTTTCTGATGCTGCCATTTTGTTAATTTTTGCAAAAAAAAGAAAACCTTCGATCGGGCCCAGGATATCTATTTATAAACTATTTTTTTATATGATTGATTTAGATGAATCTCTAAGGAGTTATGATGGTCACCGCCAGAACCGCTTTTTGAAACAGAGTCAACGAAAACAGCTATAACTTTGGGATTTTTTTTTCTGAAATTTTTGTTACTTCAAGTCAAAACATTGTATAATAATGCCGTATTAATATTTTTGTAGAAAAACATTGTTTAATAACAAAAAAAAAGTACTGAAAATTCTCATTTTTTTCGTGCATCCAAGTACCTCTAACCCCTTAACAGGGATTTGCATGAAAAAACTAAATTCTAATAAACGTAATAGCATGACAATAACATTATTTACATAATATCCGAATGAGTCCTTTATCAAATATTAATAATAAATTAATATGATTTATATTTTGTATCCCTTTTAAATATGAAAAATAGTTATTTTTTTTTAAGATTACCTTAGAAAGTGAAGTTCATGTGTACAAAAATAATTCAAAGTATGTATTTATACTTTAATTAATTAAATTATTACTACAATAAACAAAAAATGGTTCAAATTGCATTAATTAACTTTATTGTTATATAATTAAATAATAATTTCTAGTTTTACAAATATTTACAGAATTATCTTCTAATTGACAGTTAATCATTTTGACAGTCGGTTGTTGTCATGTCTTTTTCAAATGGATAATTTTAATTAAAAAATACAATAAGTAAATATAAACAAAAAATCTTTACAAGCACAAAATGTCCTTGCTCGAAAAACTTGATAAATCCATTGATGTGTTAAAAAATTCAGATGTTCTTTTAAGGTAGTAAAAGAAAATTGTGTATACATATTTATAGGTTATATTATACTAAATTTTATTTCTAGGTCTAAAGAAAAAGCACAGCATTGTGTGTCTATAGCAGATATTTTATGCAGTGCTAATTTTAAAAGTGCTCCAAATTTTGCACAAAGAATAAATGTTTCCATTTCTTTGTTGATAAGACTTTGCAACGATGAGCACTCAGATATTCGAATGGTTGCTTCTGAAAACTTGGATAGGATAATTAGAGCCTTGAGTGGTAGTTATATGGCTAAAATACAATTGGAGTTGTTTGAAGCTATTAAACAATGCAATAATATAAAGTAGGGATGATAATACATACATGTGTGATATTAAATCAAATCTAATTTAATTTATTAATTTTAGGTCTGTTCGTATAGCTTTAACAAGATTTGCAAAGCTATCTGTATACATAAAGCCTCAAAAAGGCAAAGTGTACGTTGCAAATTTGTTTCCTTGTTTAGAAAATCTTTTATCAAAGCCTGATGACTTGTTGCACGAGACATTTAGCGAAAGTTTGCCAAAGATTATTAAAAGTTTAGGCCTTTTTGCGACCGATAAAGAAATGAAAAGTCTAATAAAATCAATTATAGAAGTTCTAAAATCAGATTCGCCTGTTAGGAGACGTTGTGCTGCACAAAATTTATCTTCGATCTGCACACAGAATGAAAAGACTGAAATTTTATTGATTATGTACTTAATATGGTATTTGGTAAGTAAATAAATAATTGGTAAAACTATTTTAAAGTGTGTTAATTGTTTTTGGTTGTGTTTTATAGATTTAATTGTTCCTTTTAATGAAAGTCTTCAAAGTAATGTAATCGTGGGGGCTTTGAACGGTCTTAAATTGTTGCTTCCCGTGTATTATGGGTATTTTAATAAAGGGAAGTCTACGACAAGTTTGGATCAAATTTTACAGGTGAGTGAAATTTTGATTATTATATATATATAATTATTATTATTATTATTATTATATATAGATATATATAATTATTATGATACATATATATATAATTATTATATATATGTATATATATATATATATATATATATATATATATATATATAATTATTATTATATATAATATAATATATATAATTTTTATAATTGTATTTCTTTTTAGATTTTTGAGCTGTGTCTGCACTATATTAATGTAACCAGCAGTGGAAATACAGTAATCACAAATGCTGCACTTGAAACTTTAAACTATTTATTGTTTAACGCACCAAAACAATTAATTAACTCTTTAATTTCCACTAACTACACTTTAAGATTGCATGATCAAGAACATGCCAAAAATATGTTGGAGGAACAAACTGCAAGTGAGTAGATTATTCAAGTCAATCTGAATTGAATAAGACCAAATTTGGAAAATGTGTGTTTTTATATGTGTGTATTAGATTAGGTGTGTGAGTCCTTTTTCTTTTATGTTTCTATTTAGTATGCTCGTCAGTAGAGTGCATTTTTAACTTCCCGTAGGGTAAGTTATTGTAATGGGCCGAAAATCGAAATTGAAAATTTTTGCATTTCTCGACGTTTTGAAGGTTTCTGAACGTTTTGGCATACCTCAGAAAAATTGGATGTGTGTGTGTGTGTATGTATGTATGGATACAAATTTCCAGTCACGTTTCCGGGCGCACGGATCAACCGATTTGAATGGTTCAAAAAACATTCGATTCCTATAGAGTGCAGAAAATAGAAATCGAGTTTTTGAGAGAACGGAGCATCCGATTTAAATGATCTAAAAAACATTCAATTAGTAATGATTGGGAGAAGTGATTGTTAGTTTTGGCAATGGCAGGCCCAGCCATTTGCCAATTTGAACTTTGCAATTCAGTTTATATAAATCTAAATATAAGACAATGTTACAATATTTATAATAATCTATTTGAAAACATTCAGTATTCCTTGAACATTACGTTACGGTACGGGAAGTTCCAACAATTTGCCTTAAGGCACGATGCCTTAATTGCCTCAAGACAGAATTCCACTTACAGCTAGTTATCTTTTAGATCACTGACTGATTTCTCTACTGCAAATTCGTAAAAAATCTATGAAATTTGTGGAGAAATCCTAGTATTTGCTATAAAAGTTTCACACCTTATTAAAAAAAATGTATATATAAATTTTATTATTCTAATATTTTAAATAGATTTTTACATGTCGAGACCTTTTAAACGATACCTACTACACTATAAATTTATTAAAAGTGTATATTTTAACTAGTTTTTCACTGTTTTTATTCTTTTAGGCCAAATGAGTATATCGAACTCAATCATATCAGACATAGGACTAGATTATGATTTATCAGAAAGCATTTTAGAAAACTCAATATCCGAAGACTGGGTTTTACAATCAAAATTAACAACAAATGAAATTAGTCTATCTCAAACAGATTTATCGACATCCAAAACCAGATTGTGTTCTGTTTCAAACCAATCGATAAGCGATTCTTTGAGTGATCATTCAGAATACGTACAAATTTGTAACCTCGATAAAACTTGCACGCAACAGAAAGAAAGTGGTGATAAAAATATATACTGTAATGGAAATGTGAACATGAGTGATGTATTTAACAATGATTTGTACATTGGTGATCTAGTGAAAAATGATACAAGTTTAATTATGTTTTGTGTAAGATTAATAACACACAAATTTTTGCTGACGGGTTTCAAAGGTTTCATCAAAGATGATAAAAATGTTAAGGTCACTTTGAAATACTCAGCTTTGTGTTGTTTATGTAACATTGTCAAATTTTACCCAAACTTCATGACAAGCTACCTCGACCTCCATGCCAATGACAAAATCCTGAACGGCATCCAATTAAAAATGGATCACTTTGGAAATGAAGGCTTTGGCACAGAAACCGAACTGGAAAAATATCAAACTTTCACCGATCTATTACTCTTCTCCAGACATCCAGATCAACAATTGAGGGGGGGTCACTAGCATATTAATAGGCCAATTTATTACTACAATTGATAATTATAATACCTTGAGTTACGAGCAGTGGTGTGCGGAACAGTTTGCGGTTTTTAAAAGATGCTTACGATTTGAAAAAGTTGATTTGTATTTTGATTGATGGTTTGAAAGATGATATACAGACTGCTACGAGGCAAAGTTTGCAAGCGGTCGAGGATTGTTTGAGGAATTTGATAAGGAGCAGTACAGATTTTGAGGTAAGAAAATATATGTACATTAATTGTGATTAATTATGCATATTATTTTTAAATATAACACTTTTGGACTATATAGAATATTTTCAGACTATATAGAACATTTTTGGGCTATCCACTATCCAATATTTTTGGGCTACCTAGAACATTTTTAGATTATCTAGAATATTTTCTCACTACCTAGATCATTTTTGGACTATATCTGGCATTTCTCAGACTATCTAGGACATTTTGAGACTATTTAGAGCATTTTCAGGCTACTTAGAACATTTTCAGACCACCCAGGCCAAATTCGGACTGCCATTTCATTTAATGATAAAATTTGCATATATATTTTATTTTATATTCTAAATGCAGAGATTTTATTAACTTCCCAAAGGATGGTTTATGTTTTCATAAAAAATCCGATTCGCTAATTTTATGTTTTCTCGACGTTTAAGCCATTCTGAATCGAATGAGCCAAATTTGAAAAAGTATGTATGTGTGTGTATGTGTTTGTGTGTGTATGTGTGTGTATTGTGTGTGTATGTATGTGAACACATTTTTTGCCGTAAATCGACGTTTTCTCAAAAACGATTGGTCCGATTTCAAAAATTTAGAAGCTAGATGTATTTCGATGAGGACTAGCGTTTCTGAGTTTTGTGTGACGATCGGCCGAGCCGTTTCTTTGTAAATCGCAGAAAAGTGAAAAAATTTTCGTCCACGTTTTAGCCCGCAATTCTTATCGATTTTGAAAATTCAAAAACCGTTCGAAAGATATTGGTTGGGAATCATGCTGATTAGTTTTTGGTTAAGATCAGCCGGGCCGTTTTCTTGTAATAAAGTTTAAAAAAAAAATCGACGATTTTTATTATTATTTTTTTGACGGTAGATACCATAGTCTTCTAGATCATACTGAAATATTACAGCCCTACGACAACTCGTTTAGCTTTAAAAATTCATCAAAGTTTGCAAAAATTAGTATCGTTCTTTTGGCATTTGTCAAAATTGGACATTTGATCGACGTTTTCTCAAAAACGCCTGAACCGATTTCAGAAATTTAAAAGCCATTTGATGTATCTCAAAGAGGACTATTGTTTGTCAGTTATGTGAGACGATCTGCCAAACCGTTTCTTTGTAATTTGAAACAAAGTGTTAAACTTTTCGTCTACATTTAAGCTCAAACTACCGAATCGATTTTAAAAATTCAAAAACTGTTCGTAAGATATTAGTTGGGAATGAAACTGATTAGTTTTAGGTGAAAATATACCGAGCCGTTTTCTTGTAATTAATTGTTGAAAAAAAATTTAGGCCGATTTTTATGGAACTTTTTTTGTCGATATATATCAAGGTCTTATACAATTTATTGAAATATCATGGCCTTACGACAATTAGTTTAATTTTAAAAATTAATCAAAGATTAAGAAAATTAGTAGTTTCTTTGACGTTTGTTAAAATTAAAATTAGACGATTTACTTGGTATAACGATAGAATACTTGGTTTTAATGAACATAGTAAACCATTAAAGTCCTATGGAAACTGGTTCAATTATAAAAACTGGTGATTGTTGAAATTTTCTATTAGAAAATACTTCGAGTCAAAGTGTTCGTTCGCACTTACAATCATGTGTAATAAATCCACTCGGAATACTCTAATCACCATCAATTAAATTATTTTTTATTGATTAAGTCGATAAATTACACATATCGGGAAGTTCATGTAACTTGCCTCAAGGCTAAATACCAAACCAACTAGTTCTCTATTTCCTTTTCCATTTTAGACAATCAAGCTTCTACTCAACGAACTTCTCCAAGTCTCAAAAAAACCATACTGGCTCATAAAAGTAAAACTCGCAGAACTCCTTTCAAAACTAAACTACAAGCACATCTACCTCATAACCGGGTCAGATTCTTACCAGGAAAAATACTACTACACGACATTCTATATCAATTCTTGTCAAACGAAGACTCCAGAGTCAGAAGCGCCAGCACAAAATGCCTGTGCGAAATCATACCAAACCTTTACTACTCGAATGATTATTCCAATTCAGATCCTCTAGTAAATGTTTTTGTGAGACATCGAGGGGATGTAAAAACTGATTGTGATAAGGTGTCCTTCAAATATTTAATTGATAATAAATTGTGTAGAAATCTAATGTGGCCCTTTTGCGGCATGAATAAATATAAAGGGGTACAGGATCGTGATGGTGTTGAGAAGAATTTATCCAGAGTGCTGTTTGAGTTGTCGGAGATGCTTTGTTGTTGATGTATGATAAGAATTTAATGGTAAGTTACTTGCTGGTTATATTATATATATATATAATATATAAATATATATATATATTGTGTGTTGTGTGTGTGTGCATATGTTATATATATAATTTACACATGACTTTTTAAGATGGGTGTCATCAGTGCTTTACAGCAGTCTAATTCAACGCTACAATGCTATAACTTATGGATTTTGGCTCGAATGTATTTCATGCGAACTGCTGCAACAGCTACTACAAGAGACATCACTACAGCATGATTTAAATTTACACAAAGATATTATTATAATGTTAACCAATTTAATATGCGGTAAGTGGTTTATACATAATAATATACATATATATATATATATATATATTTATATATATATATATATATAATATATATTTAATATATAGTATATCTATATCTCTATATATTATATGTTTAATTTGAGTTTAAAATTCGGGCGTAACATCAATAAAAATAGTGATGAGAGTTTTTCTAAAGTTTATTTATTTAAATACCATACGTTTCGGCTGGAATCTTAGCCATCATTCAGTGGTAATCAAATTTACATATAAATTAAAACTAAATAAATAATATGTAAGAAATTTCATAGAAAAACAATAATAATTTAATTACTGAATGATGGCTAAGATGCTAGCCGAAACGTATGGATTTTTAAATGAATAAACTTTAAAAAAACTGTCATACTATTTTTTTTTGATGTTACGACCCGAATTTTAAACTCAAATTAAACATATATCAACATCAAAATTCAAGACTATTCATTATATATATATATATATATATATATATATATATATATAATATATATATATAATATAATATATATATTTGCATTCTCTTTCAGCTTCTCAATGTAAAGAAATCTCCTCGAACTCATCAGAGCAACCAACTTCAGTCCTATACGAAACAATTTCTGATCTGGATAAGTCTCGATCTCCATCAGAGATGATACTGACCCTAGAATCTCATCTTTTGAAAATCCTGAACGCCTACAGATGCGTTATCGAAGGCGAATTGGATAATAATGCTGGATTGAATATTGCTGCGGCAGCAAATTCGAACCAGGTACAGAAATCTATTGGCGCAGGAGGCAGCAGTAAGAAACCTTTAGGGTTAGCAGGTAAATAATAATGATAATTGATATTTAATATAGCATTATGCCTTTTCAATGATGTCTTCAAATATACTTATCGCATAATGAATTTATAAGAAACGAGCTTAAAGAAGTTTTACTTCAAAAATTTTAGATTTTATCTTTTATGGCTTGTGTGGTATCATTTGAAAGGTCTTTTTGAATAGAATCTGAATACTGAAATAGGTTCTAATTTTTTTTCTCTATTTATTTGCAGCAACTAAAAATACTGAAACTGAATCACCGAAGAAGCAATTTGGATATTTTGCCAACAACTCGTTGTACATGAAGCTTTATGAAGCTTTGAAGTCTGCTTATTCTATTTATAAGGCAACTATTATAATATACATTTATATTATATATATATATATATATATATATATATATATATATATAAAATATTATATATATAAATGTATATCTATATATAATATATATATATATATATATATATATATATATATATATATATATATATTTACAATTTTTCCTTCACTTTCAGACTAATATAGACGATGAAGCAAGCACAAAATTTTTGACATTATTGGACACTGTCATAAGTTCTATTTCACAATTACTTGAAGTGCAAGTCAGATACATATCAGGCAGTATATCAGATGAAATACTATTGCACACGAGATGGTGCATTAAACTGTGTCCTAAAAGTACTATTTTGTGTGTCGAACAACTATTGAGGGCTCTTTTTAAATGCAATCTTGTGTCGGACTATTCTGGGGTTGTGGATTACTTGAATATAGGTAATAATTATAATTCTTATATATATATATTATATATATATATATATATATATATATATATTTATCCCAAGAGCTCGAATGCTTCCAAATGAATAAAAATTAAATCTCTAATAGTTTTAATCTTATTATAAACATTTAGATTATTATTAACATATGTCATTATTAACATTTGTCATTAAATAAATTCTTGCGTCACCTGTGATAAATTCAAATATTGTAAACTCAAATATTGTGACAAACTTAAAAATATTTATAATTCACTTAACCTCTAATTAAATCCATGCGGGCTGTTTAACGAAATATTTATTCATCATGGTATTGCTTGTAACTTTCAAACTATTTGTTTAATATGAATGTCTTTGGCTAATTTGTTTAAAATTAAATGATAAACCATGTTGTCTAATATGAAAAGACCCTACAGCAACTCGGTATATTTAAAAACATATTTGATAACATACAACTTTGCTTCCGCCCTTATTGTAAAGAACTCGTATTGTAAAAACGGCGGAAGCAAAGTTGTATGTCTAATAATTAACTTTAAAAAACTAATACATTACATAATTTTCAAAAAATGAAATGTGTATTATTATAATCTTCTATATATGTAAAAATAAGTCGGGTTTTCCTTCCTGACGATTTAACTCCAGAACGCACGAATTTTGCATTCTTTGGAAAGGTCTCGGGCTTCGCAAGGTTTATAGCTAAGAAAATTAGTGGTGCATGGCATCGTGCCCTAATGCAAATTGCTGGAACATCACGCACCGTAATTAAAAATTCGAGTAATGACATTAGTGAGAATTATCGGAATTATGCTTGGATAAGTCAACGAGCAATTCTTGCCGCCAAGAAATATGATGTACACGCACTGAATTTCACCATTCAATTAAAAATTGCTGGCGATTTAGTGACATACCAATGATTCCGACTGATCTTCCGTTTGACTTCAAACGATTGCAATTTCCAGTTCGCTTTGCGTTCGCAATAACAAGTCGCAAGGCCAATCGCTTAGTGTTTGCGGGATAAATTTTAAATAGATTATTTAGAAAATCATTATTTTTCACATGGGCAGTTATACGTTGCCGCCTGTTCACGAGTTGGGAAACCATCCGCTTTGTTTGTGTTAACGTCAGACCAAAAAACAAAAAATGTTGTTTTCCAAAGAGCACTTCAATGAAACGGATAATTTGCGGATTCACTTTCTTTTACTTAGAGAAGTTCAACTAAAAAACACTTCATTTTCGTAATCGAAATAAATTCATTACTGTTGTATAATAAAATCAAATTTTTCCTTTTCAAATATAAAACAAACAAAAAAATTCTTCATCTTTCTCACGAAACCATCTGGTGGCGAAACGGAGTTCGTCGGGTTTGCTAGTCAATTATAATTATGAGTTAATTTTTATTATTTCCATTTTAGATTTTTCAACACGAGCTCCAGTATCAGAAAAAAAACACTTTGAAGACATATTTACAAACAATCCGTACAAATTTGTTGAAACAATCCAAGTATCTCCTTGGATAAAATTAGTAGAAGACTTTGATGCCTTCAGAGCCTTTTTAAAAAAACGTCAAACATCCTGGCAACCCGACAAAAAATTCCTGTCTTCCTCCATCAGGCTGTTCGAACCAATGGTGATTGAGTGTTTAAAGAAATACACGACCTGCAACAACACCTCGATACAAGCACGTGTCTTAAGCCTCCTGTGCCAACTTCTACACTTAAGAGTCAATTACAAAATGTTGGACTCAGAGAACACTTTTATCCAATACGTTTTCAAACAATTCGACAGCATCCAATTAGGTCAAGTTGCCGATTGTCAGGTTTTACTCGAACAGGTGTTTGGTTTCCTTTTGCGTCTGTCGAGTGAAAAGTGCTATGAGGATTATTCCAATAGGGCTCTGCATTTGTGCGATGAACTTTTGGCGAGTGAACAGAATTATGAGACTCATTGTGTACCGGCTCTGGTTCCTTTGGTGGAGGCTGTGTTTTTTATGGTGCCGATGAAGAACGGAAAGGATTTTGTTGATAGCGAAGATGATGAGTTGCTGACGAAGAGGGAGGTTGTTTTTTCTATGGTCTTGAGGTAAAGAAACTAGGTGTAAGCATCAATACTCATATACTTTCACCAAATTTTGATCTCAAGTGATTCAGAACGATTTGGAACATTTAGCAACACTTTTAGACAGGTTGCAATATTTTTAGACACGCTACAACATTTTTAGACACGCTACAACATTTTTAGACACGCTACAACATTTTTAGACATCTAGCAACATTTTCACACAACTTACAACATTTTTCACGCACCCAACAACATTTTCAGATATCTAACAACGTTTTAATTCGTCTGATTTTTTTCAGGTTGTTGGAATATTCAGAAATCCAAAACTCCTTCTCAATGATCCTCATTTTGAGTTTCAAAAACAAACAAATCTACAACAGACGTTCACAATTCATTTTGGACTATTTACTAAACTTAATAACGAACAATAAAATTAAAATAACAACTTCAATCAAACAACAAAGCCTACAACACTTAATTGAAACTTTAAGCAGTGAAATACTACTCCGAAATATACAGGAAATATTAAAACTTTGTATGAACTATAATTTCTATTCAAACATTAAAAACTTTTCGATACTCAAAATTTTCCTGGCAACAATTTTAGCAACATTGCCTAATGAAAAACAGTTGTTACAAAATTTGGATGATTTGAAACTGAAAAATTTAATAGATCTTAATGCAATATTTTTTAATAAATCAGTGATGGTCAATCAGGATCCTTTACAAGTTTTGGATAATCCTGAACAGTTGCTGATGAACTCGATAACTAACGAAGTGATTTTCGTAAGGTTTTTGGTTTGTGTTATTTATGAGAGCGTTAATAATTTAAAAAGTTGTTTTGAAGATGATCCGCAAAATAATGTTGAATTTATCTGTGAAGAGTTTGAGGATTTTTTGAAGATTGTTGAAGCTGTTTTTGATACCGATAGAGGTAAGGAACATTTTTTACATTTTGTCTTATAACTTGAAATTTTTTTTGGAAGCATTTTACTTTAATCACATTAATAGAGACTAGATAAAATTTACTAGAAATCCGTAAAAACTGTAGCATATGCTTGCTTGAGGAAGTTTGAGTAAAATTAGTCGAGACATTTATTTTCTGTTAATTAATTAGCAGCATGTAGATTTGAGACATTTTTTACATTTTGTCAACTAACTCAAAATTTTCTTCGGGAACATTTTAATTTAATTACATTAGTAAATACTAGATACAATTTACTTTAATTTAGTAAAAATTGTTTCATATACATGCTTATAGAAATTTTGAATAATCAAAACATTTATTTTCTGTTCTTGTTTAGATGACAACAAATTCAAATTAATTTCAAAAACAGTCTCTACTATTCTATCAGATGAATCACTTGGAAAATATTCCAAACAATATTCCAACGATGAAAACATTCCAATAGAAAAACTAACGGAAGAAATTTTATTTGTTTCGAAAAAATCTCCTTACATTTATTGCCATTGGTTACATCTTCTTGTCGATTTGAATTGGAAAGATTGGAAATTGTGGAAGAATGGATTGGAAAAACTTGATGATGATAAAAATAGTGCTGTAGAAAACCCAATTGTTTCGAATGTTAGTATTAATACTATGATGTTGAAACGAGCAGCTTTTTTGACTTATTGCAGATTTAGTGTAAGTAATAAAATTCATTAATTGCTTAATTCAAATGTTGACTAAAATGTTTTATTTTTTGTAGGTAAAGTCAAATCAAATAAATAATGAGAAGCAAAATGTGGAACTTACTCATTTCCTCGGAGAGCATTTGTACGAAGTGATTTCTTTTTGTTATGAAGAACCAGTTATCGAGAATATTTTGCAAAATGTTGTTTTTGGAGATGAGATTTGCAGCGAAATTATTTTGCAAGCTGTTGATAAACTATTGCCTTCGAAAATTGATGATGTGAGTATAATTTTCATTTTTTACATAATAAATATTTTTACTTCAAATTAGTGGATTAAGGATATTTTTTACATGTTTTCTCAAAGCTTGAAATTTTCTTTCCGGACATTTTATCTCAAATACATAGTTAAAAACTAGATAGAATTTACAAAATTTTAATAGGAACTATTATTTATAATTGGATATTAAAATTTTGAATAAAATTTGTCTTAATCTGGTAATTACTAAGTAATTAATGGACTTGAGACATTTTTTTACATTTTGTTAAATAACTTTAAATTTTTGTTCTCGGACAATTTCTTGTCTTTCAGCATTTCTGTTCCGCGTGTTGTCACTCCTCAGTACATGGTTTGTTCCGTCTGCATGGACCGCAATCGTCTGCTGGTAGATGTAAAGGCTGGTAACAGTCAGTATTCTAAATTTAGTAAACATGGGTCTGCAGTGCTCCCGACGTGAGGCCCCTCCGATTGCCCTTACAGCCTTCTTCTATAAATCCATTATCTTGGAGGTATGCACCGAGTGTCCTCATGCCAATATTCCATATGAGAACACAGAGTGAAACATGGCAAAGTAAGCCTCTCTAGCGCATTCCTCATTTGTAATGTGTCAAACTCTTCTGATGGCATATATTGATTTTGAGAGCTTAGTACATATTGAATCTATGTGCTTCGCCAGGTTAGCAGGCTGTCCATAGTGAGACCCAAATATTTAACTTCCCTTCCATGCAGCTCCTTACGTCTCCTACCGGAAGTAAAGTTAATAGGACAGTTTTTCTATTGTTTAGTACAATTTTGTTGGCTGAAAACCAGTTTTCGTTCATATTTGCGATGTTCTCGTCCGCAACCGCCAATGCAGTGTCATCTGCAAATTGCGTTGTGGGGCAGCTAATGTACGGTGGTAGATAATTCACAAATATGATAAAAAGAAGTGGTCTAAGAATACTCCCTTGGGCAACCCTTGCATTTAATCTTGCTATCTCACTTCGTTTATTGTTTCATTCCACAAACTGATACCTGTTATATAGGTATGATTGCATAAGTTTAAGGGCTTTTAAATCCTTTATGAGAAATATGTCATCCATAAATTCCAGTTTCCTGCAAAATATGTCATGTGTGAATTTGTAAAGTTCAAAAAGTCTTGCACAGCATCAATTGTGTTAATTTTCTTTTTGAATCCAAATTGATTTTTTACAAAATAATTATTAGCATTGAAGAAACTTGTAATTCTTAATGCTAACAACATTTCTATAATTTTCTAAAATATTGGCTGTATGGCTATGGGTCTGTAGTTTGCTGCTAACTGACGATTTCCTGATTTATATAATGGCACTATTTTTGCCAGCTTCTTTTTGTCTGGAGATTCCTGTGGAGAAAATGTTATTTGCTATCTTGCACAACGGTCCAGCAATGTACTGTGCGACAGATTTTACCATTTTTGTATTAAAGCCGAAGGCATCAAACGACGTTTTATTTTTTAAGCGTTTAATCATTGTATTAATTTCCTCTGGGGTAGTTGGATTTAAAAATATACTTTGCCCCTTCACAAATACCTTTGTCAAATAGACATCGGCTGCAATTATTGGCTGGGGCAGATTTTTTACTACATTTATGGCTACATTTTTGAAAAAAATATTGAAAACTTCAACACTGGGTGCCTCATGACTTACATTACCTGTATAATTCTTACCAGTTTTCCTTTTTATTATGTTCCTAATTGTGATATTTTTGTTATCAGAATTTAAAATGTATATTTAAAATATATTGAAAAGTTATTGAACTGATTGTTAGGATCCTCACCTATCACCGAAAGTTCCCAGTCCACTTGGCCAATTTGATTAACAAAGTTGTCCATGTAGGGACCACCGATCTTTCTTACAGTATGGAATGTACTTTCATTAGGGTCAACTCTCAAACGAATAAGTAGAGCTTCATGGTCCGAGATTGCCGCTGAAAAGGTATCTACTGAAAAATTAATTTCATCGATGTTTGTAAATGCGCTATCAATGCAAGTCGCCGCATAGATGATGTTTGTTTTTAAGTCAAAATTATAATATATAATCAGTAAAGTCAACTCAACTTTCTGCAAAAATGTGTCAAGTGTCGCATTGGGAGATCTGTACATCGATATTACAACAGTTTTTAATTGTTTTATGTAGCATGCGGCCATTTCGCACGTTAGCTCATCGGAATGTGATGTTATGTAATTTAATTCCAAACATTCTATCTCTTTTCGACAGTAAATAGCAACATTTCCGTGCGTATGTTTACTACGACAGAATGAGCTGACTAGCCGAAAATCACGTATGCTATACAGGTCGATTTGGTCGTTGCCAAGCCAATGTTCACATAGACAAAGAATGATTATTTTATTGTCATGGACCTTTGTTAATGCCTCGGTTTTATTGGATAAATATTGAATATTCAGGGACATTATGTTGATCCAGTTTGACAATTTTTCTTTGTTTTTTTTCCCCCAGATGGAATAAAAAACGGTACATAGACTCCTTTTGGCCAAACATCCGGAGATTTTATTCTTTCCAATTCACTCTCTGCAACGGAGACCTTGAAAGAGGCTTATGTTTCCGGATGTTTTGAAGCCATTTTCTCACATTCAACATTTTTGAAATTTATTTTTTTTAAGTAATTTTTTAGAGTTTCCGACGATGTTCCCGGTGCCAGGCGAAGCACATGCAAGTGGGCCTTCCTCACAACTCCCGCGAGTGTAGTGCTCACATTTGTACCTTCTATGGCTTTGTTTTTTCGTTTCGGCGTCTTCTTTTTCTGGACCAAAGTTCAATTTCCATCGTCATTTGCTTTAATTGATTGTTGTTCAGCTTGGGTCGATTTAGTAGGCAGCTCCGTGTTGGCAACCGCATCTCGGAATGTTTCGGTTCTTATCTAATTCCTTCAAAGCAGTTGCTACTGCAACACTCACCTGTTCCTTTGAGACCTTATTAGCATTGCCACTGTTTTTATTGGTAGATTTATGTTTAGCCTTCTTGGATGCTGCTTCCTCAGTATTACTATCAATATTGGGTGCAGCTGACGATGCCTCTTTTTTCTTTTCATTTGGCTTTAATAATTGCAGCATCTTAATTTTTTCTTCAAGCTGCTGAATTGTGTGTTCCTTGTCTTTTATTATTGTCATCTTATCGTCTATTATCGTATTTTTGTCGATAATTGTTTGTGATAAGTGGTTTATAGTATCCATATGTTTGTCACACGACACTTCACTGCTCAACTCACAGCACTGTATCAACTTTCCAACAATGAATTTGAAACCTTTTCTTGTGGCACAACTCACATGTAATAAGTAAATTTTGCCACAGTTCTTACAAACGCCCACACTCGCAGATGGTTTTGTTTCACAGCAATTGTAGGATTTTTTGGAATCCTATTCCGGAATTAATTGTGTCAGAGACATTACGACTCTTCAAAAAACACGTCCGCACGATTCAACAGTTAGCTTAGTTATATAATATCAAATATTGATTATTTAATCATTTTTTGAATTTGATAAATAATATCAAATATTATGCAACAAACAGTGACTTATCGGTGCATTCACTTATAATATCTCTTGAAACTTTGAAACCTTACAGCACTTTTGAATCAGTCATGTATTATTTTGTTATTGATCACGTCGATTATTCATCTTTTAGATGATTTTCGTCCACAAAGTTCTAACAAAGTTTCTCGACCGGTTGCACGTAGACTTATCAGGATCGATTCTCCACTCTTGTATTGTTGAAGTAAAACTTCTTGAGCACAAGAACATACTAATTTGTCGTGATGCTTCGAGACTTTGTTCGAGCAAGGCAGAGTTGTTGAGAACCTTGGAGACCGATGATAGTGACGATGAAGTTGTTGTTAAGCAGAAATTGTCTGAGGTGAAGTTTAGGCAGATTATGGAGTATTTTAGAAGTAAAGGAGAACGAGTAATTAAAAGGTAAAGGAAAAGTTACTGAGAGTAAATAAATTGTTGCTGTCCAAATTGTCTTTTATCACTTTTTTTATTTTTCAGACACGAAACGCTAGTAAGCATCCTAAACAAGCTAGCTGTGCAATTCTATTCCTTGCCACCTATCGAATTGGACCACATGAAAACCATAGACTTCACCAATTTACGGAAAACAAAATTGGACGCGGAATGGTTTTATCAACAAGTAAAAACAAAATGTTGCTCTAAAGATAAAACTCGAGTTGAGTGCAAGGCTTTAAGCAAAATTATGCAAAAATTGGGCGCTCAAAAACTGCAGGAAATTTTATCGGATGAAAATGTTGATGTTGGCTTTTTTGCTTATTGCTTGACTAGTGAAAGTGATGATGATAATGTAAAAGTTGTTGTGGATTGTTTAATGAGTAAAATTTTGGTGTTAGTTGAAGGTTTTAACTTTCAATATCAAAATCAGTGTGTGTTGTTTCAAAAAATTACAAAAAGTGTTATTAATTTGCTATCAATTGATCAGAATTTATTTGCTGACTTTGTGGACCCTTGTATCAAATTTAACGCTTTGTGCTTACAATATTGTGTGCATAACCTAAAACAAATCCCAAATTTTCTCAACAGTAGTGCATTTGAAGATGCACTCACATGCTTTTGTGCAATAATCAAAACCGAGCAAGTGTGGTCGCGTTTAAACAACACCCACAACTTACAAACACAAATACACAACTACATTGCATCTTTGCATCAAATCTTGCAGCAATTATCCCTCGATGCTACAAATTATCGTTTAATCGAAAAAGTCCCAAATTTGGACAAAACTTACAACAACCAAGTTGTGTCCATTATCCAATTTGTGGAAGATTTCAATACAGTTTTGTGTAAGGATCTAAATAAGTTCAGTGTTTTGTTGACTCCAGATTTAGCGAAGAAAAGTGTGTTTTTGCAATGTGTAATTATGGTGTGTCGATTCGATGTTGTTATCAAGTTTGCGATGACGCCGTTTTTGGTTTTTGAAAGAATCGATTCGAGTTTGGACGAAAAGAACTATTTTGCGTTTTTGCAGGAGTTTTTGCAAGATTCGGATGTTCTGGAATCATTTGTGTTTAGGTAAGATGTAATTTCTAATCGATGTAATATACACTTTTAACGATTTCTTCAAAAAATGTTTATGGTTTTTTTTCGTATGTTGGATATTATTTGAAAGGTCTTTTTGTACAGAATCCGAATATTGAAATTAATTATATGGTTTGTCAACACGAAATACATTTTTACTGAATTTCTAGTAAAACGATAGTAAAAAAGTTTCACTTCAATAAAATATCGACGAGTAGAATATGATATTCACAAAACATTATATTGTGATCAAACGTTATATGTTATTGCAAAAGTCATTAAATTGTTATATTATATTGATTTTTTTTCTAAATATGTTAGGTTTAAAACTTTTGTAACGAATGCTTAAATTAACTTTGTGATTTGTCTATAAAAAATACACTTTTTATGAATTTGTAGCTGAGAAGTCAAAAGAAGTTTTACTTCAAAAATTTTAGGTTGAATCTTTTGTGGCATATGGGGTATTGTTTGAAAGGTAGTTTTAAATAAAATTTGAATATTGAAATAAATTTCAAAATTTTTAAACGCGAAAATTTTTACATTATTAAAATTATCTTTTTTCTTCATTGCAGGTGTGCTCTGTTGGGCTGGACTTCGCGGACACAGTTCGAGGAGACTTGGATGAGCTTATTGGGAGTGATCAGTGGTTCTCAAACTGTGGACGCGCCATCGGATGAAGTTGTTTCGGTGCAGACCACTGCGATTCGGGCCATAACCAAGTAAAAAATTTAAAAAAATGATTATAAATTGATAAAAGCTATTTCTCTTGTACGTTTTGGAACTATGTGTGCGTACAGAAAAACAGAAAAAATACTTACCTAATGAATAATAATCCTAATTATTGAATCTTGATTTTTATTTCAAAATTAATTAGTTAGAAGATATTAAATAATTAATCACAAGTCTTTAAAATGAAAACAGTTTTTCTGCCTTCTTTGAATTTTGACAAAATTCTTTGACAAAATTCTTTGACGTTCTCGACAAAATTCTTGACAAGAGGTTGAAATAATATTTATTATTAGTTGATTAGGAATAAATAAATAAATATATTTCGATTTATTTGTTAGTTTGCTGTTGAGCAGTTTGCTGCTGCCAAAACCTGGTAATACTGTTGTATCCAGTTATTTACACATATCGAGAAACGACAAGATAAATCAAGATAATATAGTGTAAGTATTATTGAACATACAAGTTCAAATTAGTTTAAGTGTAATAGTTATTCTCCATTGCATGTATTATGTTATATGTTAACACTATAGATAACTTCGGGTAGTTCAAAATAATTGGTGCTTTTGCGTGAAATCAAACTTATTTTATTTTGATATATTTATGCTTGCTGCACTGCATTGTCTTTAAAAAATGGTCTATATGTGTTAACTCAAAATATCGATATCTTAATATCGATGATAATATTGTAGGACTATATATAGTTAAGGGCTGAAATTTTAGTTTATTTTATTATTTTATTTCAAAAAAATATATACACTCATTTACGGTTTTTTATTACTTTAGCTCTCGCAAGCTGAAGCCCATCCACCAACTAATCCAATCATTTCTCGAAGACCCATTCCAAGAATCTTCCAACTTGGACAGAACTTGCACAGAAATTTGTAGTAAACAAAATTTATATTATCCAAATGCACAAATAAGTTCAAGATATCTGAAAAGTATTTTAAACGAAGAGGAAAATGAGAAAAATAAGATGTTGAATGAGTTTGAAAAAGTCCACGAGTACAGGATGAAGTGCTTGCAGGAGAGTGGAATTGATTTGGAAAGCTGTTTGCAGTTTTTAGTCGAGATGTATTCTCACATGTTGAATTTACAGGTGCGATAAATAATATTGTTAACCTCTTAATTAGTTACCAATATATTCTGGTTTGTTTGAGATGCTACTCACTCCCACATTAATCAATCATTTAAGGCAGACTACTATTTACACCTAGTGTTTAATGTATATAATTTATCTATTACAATTATTTTTCAGGCTCCAACTAATTCAATAGTCGTTCATTCAATCCTGGAATCATGGTGTCCGTGAGTGATTTATTCACAAAGAAGAGCCACTTTGAGTGGTGCCTAAATTTGTGTCTCGATATGTGGAAGAGATGTTCCAGCGATTCAATGGTCAATCATGATGAGATAGCGATGAGACATTTGGTTTCTTTGGCTTGTAAATGCTGTTCTGTGTTTATTTCAGAAGATTTGGTAAGTGGATAATAAATACAAATGTATAAATATATCCTCTTAAACTTCCCAATTTGAAAACATATTTATATAGTATTGGATTCTACTAAAAAAGATCTTTCAATCGAAACTTCTCCTCTGCTACAAATGTATTAAAAGTGTATTACACCTAATTATTTTCATTTCAGGGCTGTGATGCTTTACTAGACATCGTAAACATGCTTCGTTCCTCCTTAAGAAGTTCAAGCATACCACGTAAAACGAGTTCAATACCAGCTCTAATGTGCTTAATCGAAGTTTATGATGCAAATTACATAAACGAAATTTTGACATCCAGTCAATCAAAAATTTTGCAAAAAAAAGACCAAAAAGTCAATTATCAGATTCAAAAAAATTAAGCTTTGGTGACTTATCCCTAAATTTAACAACCACCCAAAATAACGATGATGTCAAAAATGTGACCAAAGATTTTGGTTGGCAAAGAAATTGAAGAAATAGAACATGATCGTAAAGGTTGATACTGCTTTTCACGATGATGATAAATGGAAATTGGATGACTGGTCCAGGACGTTTATCCATCATGATTCCAGAAGACGTTCCAGTTTGAAATTTAATGAAACTAGGAGTAAGTTGAAACATGATATGATAGAGATCAGAGACAAGGCAAGGGAGTATGCGGAGACTGTTTTTGCAGAAATCGAACAAGGGTAAGTAGGAGGAAATGAAGTTTTATCACGGCAACCTGACCTAGTACCAAGAAATATATATAAAAATATCTATTTTAATTTTTTGTTTATACTCCACGAGATTCGAACCTATCACCCGGCTCTATTTCAATAATAAAATTCATTTATTATTTCTTGATACGATTCTTTTTTAGGGGATATCACCATTCCTTAAACCATTTAATGTCAGTTTACACAATGAGTTTCCTGGTTTTGGAAAAGTTTCGGATTCAAATTCTGGTGATGGTGCTGTTACTAAAAAATTATATTACAAGTCAAGAGGAGAATAATTCGATATGAATTCGATCATTTTTGTGCTGGAGCAGGATAATGCTGACATGAATTTGTTTACTTGTGTTTGTAATGTAAAGTAGAATAAAAAATTATATATATATATATA